AATATGTTGATAAAAATAATGAATTACAGAATCCAAATTGTCCCAAGCGTCGTTACTCGGTGCGAAGTAAGTGAATGATCCCTGTCCTTCGATCTCTTCCCTCAGTTTTGAGACATCAGAATAGCCCTGTGTTGTGGTGGCTCCCACGATGCCCAAAGTGCCGTAAACATGGTCTATGGGCAAAACTGAAATAATCAAGAAATGGATAAGTACTGAGGATAATATTTTCGGGATATTATTTCATAATCATTTAAACTTTCATTAAGTTTCCCAATACATTTAACTAACAATTTTTGCAATAACATTCTATGAATCATCAATTTTACATGAAAGTTGCCTTTTGAGTGCTAAATAAGAAAATGCTATTGAAAACTATTATGTCATATATCCTTTGTGTTGATGAAAAACAAATATTAAACTATCAACCTGGTTTAACATTTAGTCTATTTAGGTCTCAATTCTGCTATGTCAATAATAATTCAATTATGATTAAATATCAAATATGTTATTTGAATCTATAATTTCTATTGATTTGAGTCCCTAAAAGAACTATGTAGGTCTGCTTGCTCTCTTTATAATATCAGCAATAAAGGAGATCAAAGTATCTAATGCTTCCAGAATATTTCTCTTGTGTATCAGAAGAAAGACTCACGTATGAATGTCAACCAGTTGGGATTTATCTAGTAATGTGCAGCCAACTTATTTTTTCTGACTCTATATGATTTGGAAACTAGTACAATTTGGATGATGGCATAGGAGAAATGGCTATTACATTTGTGAATATCCCAAGACTAGGTTACACAATTAATAAATTATAAAACCAGGACTTTAAAAGATCCCCAAAGGATGGAGAAATTGAGTCAAAATAAGCAAGATTAAATTTAACAATGTTGTCTGTAAATCCTATGTCTAAATTAAAAAAACAAACCTTAGAGAGCCTTGACTTGATAATGTTCAGTAAAATAACTTGTAATCAACTTTAACTGATTACAAATTCAATATGAGCTAATGATATGACATGGTTATCAATGACAAGGGCTCCCCAAATGAGGTACTTGTCTTGATACTCTCTCAGCTGCTCAGACCCACATGCATTGTAGATATTAACCTGGGATTATAGTCAGAAAAGTATTACTGGACTAGAGACTTTCTATGAGTTGGTCGTCATGATGGGGAGGGCTGCAGAGTCCATGTCACATGGAAGAACCAGAGATGATCAGCCCAGAGAAGAGACGATCTTTTTGGGGATGAGAGGGTAGCTCGAGGTAGGGCACGATGATTGGCATTAAGTATCGGAATGGCTGTCATCTCAAAGAGGAAATAGATGAACTATTTTTTCTCTTGTTGGCAGAGTTATGGAAAACCAAATTTCAATATAAGAAACATTATAAAACCAGAGCTGTTCAACCAGAGAAAACGATTCCTTGCCAAGTAGTGCGTTTCTTGTTCCCAGACAAGTTCAAAGAAAGGGGATTTTGTAGAGAGGAATTTTGTTCTCGAAGGGAAGCTGAACTAATTTAAATTTATGACTAAGCTTCTGTGGTATTGCCCACCATCCAGTGCATGAAAAGTGTGTTCTAGTATTTTATCACTATGATAAATTCATGATTAACACAAAGATA